AATTCAGGACCTCAGCGAAATTTTCTACAGAGAAAAGGACAATCCTATGATAGAGGAAAACCTTACCAACCTTCTCAAAGGCAGCAAAGATTCTCATATGGAGGAAGTGGGTATCAACCACCGAGTGGGAAGTTCAAGTAGATCAAGTGGATTCAGTGGAAAATGTTTTATTTGTGAAGGACCACATCTTGCACGAGATTGCCCTGGAAAAGAACTATAATTGTTTTAAGTGTGGAAAACAAGGTCACATTATTCGTGATTCTCTCGAGTGGAAGAAGGAGAACAACGGCTTTAAGAGTCATGTCGGTAGTAGCAGAGTGACGTAAGGGTTAACGAGTAACCAACCTAGGAGGCCAAGGACACAAGGAAAAGTTTTGCAATGAGTGGCGAAAAGGCATCTCAATCGACTCTATGATACGGGGTAAATGTCTCATAAATGGGAATATCCTAAATGTATTGTATGGTTCTGGAGCATCTCATTCTTTTATTGTTGAAGCTTGTGTGAGACAATTGCAATTGCCTCGTTATTGCTTTGCCATATGACTTGTTTGTTTCTACTCCCTGGCGTACTCCTATAGTTATTGTCAAGGCTTGTTTGAATTGTCCTATTGTTGTAGAAAGTAGAAATCTTTACGCAAATTTGTTTTGTTTGCCTCTCCTCGATTTAGAAACCATCCTAGGACTAGATTGGCTATCTTTCAACCATGTTCGTTAGATTGCCACACTAAAACCATAGCTTTTGGTGAATCCTTGAACCCATCATCGAGAATTTGAGATTTCTAACTGCGAGCCAAGTTAATGCTTCTTTGAAAGAGGGAGCGTAGTTATGTATGGTGTTACTCTCTCTAAAAGGAGAAAAGGAATTTAGAATAGAGAATCTGCCTATCGTGTGTGACTACCCCGAAGTATTTCTAGATGATATTCCTGGATTACCACCTGAACGAGAAGTTGAATTTGCAATAGACTTGATCCCTAGAGTCGGACCTATTTCAATAGCTCCATATAGAATTTCACCATTGGAATTGTCGAATTGAAGAAGCGAGTTAGAAGAGATGTTGGAAAAGCGGTTTGTGAGACCAAGCGTTTCTCCTTGGGGTGCTCCAATGTCGTTGGTGAAGAAGAAAGATGGAACAATGAGATTGTGTGTGGATTATCGTCAACTAAACAAGGTTACAATCAAGAATAAGTATCTCGTTACCAAGAATTGATGATTTGATGGATCAATTGAGAGGTGCAACTATATTTTCCAAGATTGATTTGAAGTCGGGATATCATCGATTAGGTTAAGCTAGAGGACATACCGAAGACCGCTTTCAGGACCCGATATGGACACTATGAATATTTGGTTATGCCATTTGGTGTGACTAATGCTCCTGCGATATTCATGGATTACATGAATAGGATCTTTCATCCATATTTGGATAAGTTTGTGGTAATATTCATTGATGACATTTTGATTTATTCTAAGACCAAGGAAGAACATGCGTAACATCTCCAAGCAAGTGTTGGAAGTTTTGAAGGAGAAACAATTGTATGCTAAGTTGGAAAAGTGTGAGTTTTGGTTGGAGAAGGTGAGTTATTTAGGTCATGTGATTAATAAAGATGACATTTCGTAGATCCGATGAAAGTGGAAACCGTATTGCAATGGGAAAGACCAAAGAGTATTACCGAGATTCGTAGTTTTTGGATCTAGCTGGTTATTATAGGAGATTCATTGAGGGATTCTCAAAGATAGCCTTACCTTTGACCAAGTTGACTCATAAAGGACAACCCTTTGTATGGACGAGTCGAGTGTGAGGAGAATTTTCAAAAGTTGAAAGATAAATTGCCTTTTGCTCCAGAGATTGATACTTCCAAACCCTCATGAGAATTTTGAAGTGTATTGTGATGCATCGAAGCAAGGGTTAGAGTTGTGTATTAATGCAGTAATAGAAATGTAGTGGCATATGCTTCAAGGCTGTTGAGACTGTATGAAGTAAATTACCCTACACATGATCTCGAGTTGGCAGATGTGGTGTTTGCATTGAAGATTTGGAGACACTATCTATACGTGCAAGATTTGAAGTTTTCAGTGACCATAAGAGTCTTAAGTATTTGTTTGATCAAAAAGAGTTGAATATGAGGCAACATCGATGGGACGTAATTTTGAAGGACTATGACTTTGAACTTCATTATCACCCCGGAAAGCTAATGTAGTGGCGATGCTTTAAGCCGAAAGTCTTTGTATATGTCAACAATGATAGTCAAAGAATTGGACTTGATGGAAAAATTGAGAGATTTGAATTTAGCTATGGAGATAACTCCCAAAAGTTTTAAGTTTGGAACTTTGAAGATAACTAGCAATTTTCTTGAACAAGTTAAGGCAACGACAATTAACAAATGAATTTTTGCAAGGCAAGAAGACTTTGGTATCTCAAGGAAAAGAAAACGATTTTCGGGAAGACACGGTGGAATTTTGAGATTCGGAGATCGAATTTGTATTCCGCAAGATGATGAAATCAAGAAAATGATTTTAGAAGAAGCCCATAAGAGTAAGTTGAGTATTCACCCATGAACTACCAAGATGTACCAAGATTTGAAGAAGTTATTTTGGTGGTCGGGAATGAAAAGATCAGATGACGAGTACATAGCATCTTGTTTGGTATGTCGAAAGTAAAGGTTGAACATCAAAGGCCCACGAGAATGTTACAATCTTTGGATATCCTGAATGGAAATGGGACAAGATAACAATGGATTTCAGTAATCTGGATTTCCAAGAACTCCTACAAGATATGATGCAATTTGGGTAATTATTGACAGATTGACCAAGTCGGCAGCATTTTCTACCTATCAACATTCGTTATTCATTGGAAAAATTGACACAAGTATATCTTAAGGAGATAGTGAGGTTACACGGCGTACCTTCAAGTATTGTATCCGACGGAGATCCACGTTTTACTTCCAAGTTTTGGGGAAGTTTGCAACAAGCATTAGGGACAAAGCTTCGATTGAGTTCAACTTATCATCCGCAGGACGGATGGACGATCGAAAGAACAATTCAATCTCTTGAAGACCTTCTACGAGCTTGCATTATGGAATTCAAGGATACTTGGGACAAATCTACGCATTTGATTGAATTCACCTACAATAACGGTTTTCATACAAGTATTGGGATGACACCATATGAAGCTCTTTATGGAAGGAAGTGTAGGACACCTTTATCGCTGGTATGACTCGAGAGAGAATCTTATTTTGGGACTAGAAATTGTGCAACAAACTACCGATAAAGTGAAGATCATTCAAGAAAAGATGAAGACAGACACAGAGTAGACAAAAGAGTTATTATGACAAGAGGAGAAAGTCGTTGGAATTTGAAGAGGGTGACCATGTATCCCTGAGAGTTACGCCTACTACTGGAGTTGGAAGAACTCTGAAATCTCGAAAACTCACCCCAAAATTTATTGGTCCTTACCAAATTCTGAAAAAGATTAGCCTTGCGGCTTATCAAATAGCCTTACCTCTAATTCTTTCAAACCTCCATAATGTTTTTCATGTCTCACAACTCAGAAAGTATATTTCGATCCTTCACACATCATTGAACTCGATACAAGTACAATTGAAGGATAATCTAACCTATGAAGCACCACCGCGTGTATTGTGGATCAAAGGATGAAACACTTACGTGGAAAAGATATACCTCTAATTAAGGTCGTATGGAGTGAAATAGGTGATGAAGATGCAACGTGGGAGTTAGAGAGCAAAATGAGGGAATCTCACCCTCATCTTTTCCCATAAGGTAAGTAAATTTCGAGGACAATTTTTTTTTAAGTGGGGGAGAATTATAACATCCTAATTCTCAATACCTCTAGTTTGTTAAATTTTGACAAAATTTTTGTCAAAATTTTAATAATTAAATTCTTAGGAATTGAGGAAAGTGACTAGAGTTTTATGTTTGTTAGATTATTTGTGATTTTTTGGAAATTTTCCGGAATTAAAAAAAAGAAAAAATAATAATAATAAAATAATAATATATTTAAAAAAAATAGAAGTGTTCAGAGTCGTTTTTGCTTATTTTGCAGGTGTTAAAAATTTTGGGAATGTCCAATTTACAGGGAAACTCGTCGATTTTTCTTAAGAAATAGCCTAGTATTATTTTGAAGAAGTTAAGATGTGATTTAAGTATAATGAGGTGAAACAAAGTTGAAAGAGTGTGAATAAGTTATGATAAGTCATGCATCATGTTCATGAGTCAGAGATTGAGTGCATGAGGAGGATATGGAAAATCAGGGTCGGTTCCATGCTAACCTCGGGGATGATTGAGTGTGATCGAACTCATATGTAGCTCAAGCTCGCTACCTAAGCTATGAGACTCTCACTACCAAGCTTGATTATCCTGACTAAAGCCCCAGGGTTTCTCATGATCAGTTGAGCTGGACAAGTAATTATGAGTATACTACCGCAAGGCGATGAGTTGTTCCAGTGAAACTCCTGATCCTTCTCGAAAAAAAAAAAAAGAGAAAGTGGTTTTGGGATCCCCATGGTCTTGCATACTAGGATGTGTCCTAGAAAAGATTAGTGCATACATTGCATTCATAATATCATATCATTTATGTGTTGATTACTAGTATATTTGTATGTGTAATTTCTAATTAACTCAATGTTATTTGCATGCTCTAAGTGAATATAAAGTTGTCTTACCCTTTCTGTGCATGTATTGTTGTTATGAAATGTTTGCATAGGGGACGTTGAACACAACTCATCCTCGGTATCATCTCCAAGTAAAGTTTAAATATGATCACTGCAAGTACTAAGTAGAGGACTTGATCGGACACCACTACAGTGCTACAAGAGATACTTCATTTTAGTGGACGTACGAAATATATCTCCTCTTTAATTAGGTTGTATAGTTAGTTTGTCTGCTCTGGTCTTGTGAACCCTTGTTAGGTGTATTTTGGGATGACTTTGTGTATATTTATTATCTAGTTATACTTGATACTTATGAATGATATGTATATTAATCACTAAGTGTATGTTCTAATTATTGTGTACCTTACTTCTACAAGAGTGTATTGGTAATCAAATACTAAGAGGAACCAATAATAATTAATAAATCATAATAAAGTGAATGTTGGTATTAAAGGTGTCACAGAAACCATGTTTGTAGAGGTGAACCTTCACAAGTCTTTCCTCCAAAATCCTCGTACAGTCGCACTTATTACATGGACATCGAATTCCCCCATCGTTGTGATAAGAATCTTGTTGCAAAGCTTTGTTTACAAAGTCTTCCACCCCCATTATAAATGACTCTTTCAAAACACCTCTTCCTCTATGACACCTATCATACATCCATGCACGATTTGATGGGAACTGGTCCATGTTCTGTATATACAAAATATGACCACTAATTAGCCAACTTTGATGATAAGTTTCAATATTGGGGAATATCTTTCCTTGTTACCCAATAAGTTTTGATATTTAATCTTCCAAAAAAAAGCTATTAATAGGAAATAACTAATGGGGAATAACTAACATGAATGACTTCATCTTCTATATATACGAAGATGCAAGACTTAGTGTTCTATCATAATGGTATATTTTCATGCCATTTCGTGCGTGGAATAATGGTCCATACCATTAAAACTGTCATGTATCTATTTGACAGTTGTTTTAGGTATATTTCAAAGGAAAAACAAGGAAATAAAAGAAAAAACAGAACTTTACCCTGGTGATAGAAGATAGTTCACTTTCAAAAAAGGAAAAACAAAACTTCAACAAGAAAAACAGTTCACTTTCAAACATTATGCACCTAAACCCTATCACTTTCAAACATTTGTGCACAATCCCCTATATGAAACATTAAAAGTTCCGAACAAATAAAACCAACAAGATTATTATTATTAGGACAAAGTTTGTTTGCAAAACATTAAAACATAGTATAAAATACCACAAATAACGTTAGATAGAAATGACAGTGGTCCTATAACATTTCCATTTGACCAAGGTCAATAGTCAACGAAAATAAAAGTTTGAGAATGTTAAATATGTTGAATGTTAAATAATACCAACACAAGATGAAGGTGGCACCAGTTTATTGGTCTCCAATTCAAAACTCTCTCAACTTTTCACGTTTAAGGAAAAACTCATAAAATCTGCAGAAAAAAAAGAGGAAATAAGAAAAGAAAAAAGAGACAAAAAGGAACCCAAAAGGCCAATATTTAAATCAATATATGACTGGTCAAAGAACCATGGAATCTTATAACTAAATTTTCAACAAAGTAGACAAGTTAAAAAGAAAAGACATAAAAGATAGAAAAGCAGTTGTGATTGAAATTCTTATATTAGGGAACCACTAGTGATAAAGCGGGTCACAGTTTAATTCTGATTCTTTCTGACACAGTTATATTAGGTTAAAAAACTATTACTACATATAGAATTCTGATAATATAAGATTACAGTAGCATATATTAATAGAATTAGTAATAAAAAATATATACTTTAGATATAAAGAGTGTTTGTTACACACTTTACCTCCTACTCCAATTTTTTTTTCTTTTTTGCATTGTAACACAAATAGGATACTAAAGAAATTCCCTAAACTGGTTGCTAGAAGAAAACTGAATGCACAAGGAGGCCACAAGAAATAGAGACAAAAGGAGAATTATAAACACCTTGCTATAACCAACACAATTGATATAAATACATTTTTAGCACCTCAGTTTAAATTTAGATCCCCATGGTCTAAAAGTTTAGTTTTTAGTCCTTTGATTGAAGCAATTATTGGAATGAAAAATGTACTTAAACCTATTCATTGATTTAAGAGATTTTATAGGTTGTCATACTCATGAAATTGATGGCATCCTAACTTATTTGGTCAAGAAAGAAAAGAAACAAACAGGAAAAAGTAAAATGAACGAAACATACCTCCTTAGTGTTCATATCACATCACATTACATCCCATACCATAAAAGTTATCAACATTTCTTTTGAACATGACAGAAACAGTTTTCCTATGATCTAGTATATTGATGGTAAAATCTTAAGGAGTATTAAGATAAAAAGTATATTTTCAAAGCCATGGTCTTGAGAGGTGACTACGAGTGATACCTAGGTCGCTAGGTCTGAGAAATATAACAAAGTTCACATAGGGAATCAAGAATCTGATACATTTTGGCAAAACCTAGAATACTACCAAATAAATTTAGAATTCAACTTAACAACAACTTTAAAGCAAAAACGCATTGCCTTGCTCCTTGACTGAAGCAACTATTGGGATGAAAAATGTATTTAAACCTATTCATTGATTTAAGAGATTTTATAGGTTTCCATACTCATGAAATTGATGGCATCCTAACTTATTTGGTCAAGAAAGAAAAGAAACAAACAAGAAAAAGTAAAATGAAGGAAACATACCTCCTTAGTGTTCATATCACATCAGATCCCATACCATAAAAATTATCAACATTTCTTTTGAACATGACAGAAACAGTTTTCCTATGATCTAGTAGATTTATGGTAAAATCTTAAGGAGTATTAAGATAAAAATGATATTTTCAAAGCCATGGTCTTGAGAGGTGACTACGAGTGATACCTAGGTCGCTAGGTCTGAGAAATATAACAAGGTTCACATAGGGAATCAAGAAGTTGATACATTTTGGCAGAACCTAGAATACTACCAAATAAATTCAGAATTCAACTTAACAACAACTTTAAAGCAAAAATGCATTGTCTTGCTCCTTGACTGAAGCAACTATTGGGATGAAAAATGTATTTAAACCTATTCATTGATTTAAGAGATTTTATAGGTTTCCATACTCATGAAATTGATGGCATCCTAACTTATTTGGTGAAGAAAGAAAAGAAACAAACAGGAAAAAGTAAAATGAAGGAAACATACCTCCTTAGTGTTCATATCACATCACATCCCATACCATAAAAACTATCAACATTTATTCTGAACATGACAGAAACAGTTTTCCTATGATCTAGTAGATTGATGGTAAAATCTTAAGGAGTATTAAGATAAAAAGTATATTTTCAAAGCCATGGTCTTGAGAGGTGACTACGAGTGATACCTAGGTCGCTAGGTCTGAGAAATATAACAAGGTTCACATAGGGAATCAAGAAACTGATACATTTTGGCAGAACCCATAATACCACCAAATAAATTTAGAATTCAACTTAACAACAACTTTAAAGCAAAAAATGCATTGCCTTGCTCCTCACGGCAGAGTAACCTTGAAAGGAATTGAGAAAAGTCTTCTACTCCATTGAAATAATTACATATTAAACATCATACCAGACAAGGTTACAATATAAAGATATATAAGTCAAATAAATTTAATAAGAATCAAAGTATATTGTAGAGAAGGTAAAAACAGGGATGAATCAAAGTTTTATTTGCCTGTAACATCCAAATAATCACATTTAAGAAATAAAATTGAATATCCCAACCAGCTGAGCCATAATCAACTACAACAACATATGAAAAACAACATTTAAAATTGTCATTGATCCAATGTCAGAAAGCATCCAACCACACAAGCAATAATGCATGACAGTGTCAGCCCCAAACCCGATAATCCACAGATCCCGTAAAAACTCAATTTATATCCAAGAACCGATCATAAATCAAGTAAACCAAATGAAACATTTCAGACAACTCAAATCAAGAACAATAAACAAAAAATCAAAAAGAGAAAGGAAAACTTAGGCCTGCGACCCTTGCTTCTAACCACCAATCTCCAAGTTGACCTACAATGGCTAGGGGGGGCGCGAGTCACAGTTAGGGCTCCGCAGTTGGGTTGGGGTGATAACGTCTAGGGCTTCGCTAGGATGCAGATGCCGCAGAGGAGGTGAGGGAAAATGTGTTAGCGCGAGCTAAGGATGTGGAGTTCAAGTGAAGGGTTGAGGAAGATTGAAAATGGAGCTCAGTGAGGGGTGGTCGGGAAAGAGGAGTGCGGGTGGCTGAGTTGTTGAGAGGAGCCGAAAAAAGAGTGAGGCAGAGGGAAGAGGGAATGAGGGAAAAGGAAAAGTGAAGGTGCAGGGAGAGTGGGGCTGCTCCGCGGGGAAGAAGCTGCAAGGAAGAAGAGCAAGGCAGAGGGAGCTAGGGCTGGAAAGTGGAGGTCTGGCTGAAAATTTTTTTTCCTTATGTTTTTACTACTAATTACTTACTAATTTTATTTTTTAATATTTTCTAATAAAATTCGTATGTAAAATATGTATGTAAAGTATGACTTCATTACATACATATTTTATTGTCATTACCTACGGATTTCATCCTTTGAACGTTCCCGCCTAAACGCACCAACATTACATACGGATAATACCTACGGACTATTGTAACGTACAATTTTATATATGGATAAAAATCCGTAGGTAATTTATAATTTATCTACGGATATGGATCCGTAAGTATATATCAGCAAGTAATTGGTAATTTTCTTGTAGTGAAATATGAAGTCCTAAAGAAGACATAAAATAAATTTTACGTCAGACCATATGAAATTTGACATAAAATGTAGAATTTATGTCGGAAAAAAATCTAGTCTAATGTAAATTTTATATTTTACACTAAACTCCGTATGATTCGACATAAAAAAGTTTGCATTAATTTAAAAATATCACCGTATTTTATTTAGGCAAACAATTACTAATTCGACAAGAGACTTGCATAAAAAACATATTTTACATTAGTGCATAGTCAAGAAGATGTGATGATGTCACTTGTACATGTATTAATACTCAACATTCATGTTCAACTACCTTTTTATAAGTTTATTTTGGGTTTCATGTAAGTTAAATATAACTAACACTTAGCTATTCGAAAAGTATAGGTATTTGCATTGCAAGGTTGCTAGCATGGCAGATGATAAAAGGCTAGGAGAAGGTGTTAGGAAGTTATTAGAGTTTTGCAACGAGGTTGTTGGACAAGTCTTATGTAGTTTTAGGTTGTTTTTGGTCGATATCTTGGTTCTTAGAATTTAAGGACAAGTTTAAGAAGGAGAGAAACTAAATTTAGTTATATAAGATTTTTGTCAATTTCAATTTATTTGTAGTAAGCACAACCAATAATTAAAATATAATGTAATATGATTAAGATAAAAAAAATAAAATAAAGGCACAATATTTATATTTGTTTACTTTACCAAGAAGGTTACACCTAATTTCCCAAAATCCTATTAAGATAATCCAATATATTTTCAAGTTATACAAAAATACTGTAATAAAACAACCACTAGTTTTTTTATTAGATTAAGAAAATTGTTAATGACAGAATTTAAAATCAGTACCTTAAAGTTGGATCTAATACTTTAATCACTAAGCTGCTAAAATTTTCTAATAAAAACTTATAAATAAATTATAATTATATACAAATAAATATATATCCGTGTAAATATATAAATACAAATATATTTATATATTTTGATATATTTATCTAGTTATATATTTACATATTTATATGTTGGATTTTAGAGCTGTGCTCGAGGGTGAAAGTGTGTGTCAAGTGAGTTTTTAAAATTTGATACCAAATTTATGAGCGAGTATCTTTATATAGATTTGTAATGTAATAATAAAATATAATCTTTATAATTTATTTATAAAATGATATAGAATATAATCTTTATAATTAATTTATATAATGATATAAAATAAAGAAAAAAATTATTTTATATCATTATATAAATAAATTATAAAGATTATATTTTGTCATTAAATTATAAACCCATATAAAGAGACCACTCACAAATTTGACATCAAATTTCGAAAATCTACTCGACACACTTAACCCTTGAGCGCACTTTCACATCCAACATATAAATATAGTTGTATTTGTATTTATATATATTTTATATTTATATATTTACATGAATATACATTTTTATTTGTATATCAATATAATTTATTTATAAGTTATTATGAGAAAATCTTAGTAGTTTAGTGATTTAGCATGTTAATTTCATTAAAGATCCTTCTTTTAATGATTTTAATTTATTTAAATTTCAATTAAATTAATTAAAACCAAGGGTATTTTAATTTAAGTATGCTTATAAAAATAATAGATTAAATCGTATTTTTAATCAATTATAACTTTTTTGAATTTAGAATAAATACGAATATTTTGCAAAACACATGTTAGTTATAAAAAGGAAGGAAATTTGAATAAAGTTTTTGAAAATTTCTTTACTAAGAGTATAAGCTGATTCTTAAAATTGTATGATCACATATAAATAAGTTGACGAATATAAGACTAGATAACGTGTCATTTGATAATATTAAATATGTGACAATAATGTGTTATTTGATAGTATATTTCCATAATTCAACCTAATTAAAGATCATCTAAAACTAATAAAAATTTTCATGCAATAACATAAAAAACATTCTTTTAAAAATGGATAACAGTGAATAAAATATTTAAATAGATAAGATATAGTAGCAAATGGTTCACACCAATTAAAAATTATGTCCAATCTTTTGTAAAAATATTTAAAGAAGTTTACTATAATCAATAAGATAAAATCAAATATATTAAACCACTATTAATTACATGAGTACCAAATAACTCATTACTATTAACTTTAATTTTCTTTTAAGACTAATAATAAAAATAATATAATCACTGAAAAAAAAAACAATAATTACTATTAATAGAGTTATTAAGGATCGCGACTCCATTTCATCTTTGACTTTCTAGAAAACTTCTACAACTCCTTATTCTTTGTCTTCATCCTCGCTGACATGCATGGCTACATAAAACCTCAATGGTATCGTTTTGATCAAGAGCACATTCCAATTATGTTTTCCTTCGAAGATAGGTTTTGAGAAACCTAAACCCTGAAAAACTTGTCTTTTTTTAATCGATGCAGTTATAACCTATATAGCAATTAACCTTTTCGATATGTATAATCTATAACCAATATAAAAAGAAACTTTACTTTTTATATTAGGTTTTATTCGATCAAAAGCAATCTTAATTTTTAAAAATTTCTTCTCTACATGAAATTACTTAAACATTCTCAACCTAACTCGTATTCTCGTGTCATCTATCCCCTTATTCGTTTGTGTCCGGTTGCTTGTGTCTCATGGCTTTGTTTTGCACTCTGAAGAAGCTCTGCTGACACCATGGAAAGAATCTTCAGCAAGACATTTTATTTTTTTCAACAACTTGATAGATATATTTTTTCTCTCTTAAGCAAATAAATCATGCTTAATATCGTAGTTAATATCCAATTTAAGTCTTTTAACTTTTTTTCTATGGGCATCAAATTATTTTATGCATTTTAAAAAACTAATTTTCACACCCTAAAAACTATTAAAGAAGTTGATAACTTTTTTTTCATTTTAAATAATCTGAGTATCAAAATTCACCCTTTTAAAGTGTTTTTTCATGATAGATTTCTAATATAGTCTTAACGTATTTTATTGGCGTTTCAGAATTCTAGTAATATAAGAGATATAATTGAAACATTTTAAATAAAAATATTATTAATTAAAAACTTACATTTTTTTAGGTTAAGAAAAATTACTCTCAAAAGAATATATATATATATATATATATATATATATATATATATTAGAATTAATATACATTATAAATTTCAAAACATATAATAAAGAACTTAAAACGAAAAAATTAACACAAATTTAAGTTTTTTTAACTTTAGATATTTATTCTAAATCTTCACAAAATATAAATTATTTTTTTATCAGCAAATATTAGTGGTTAATATGATAATTTTTTATAAATTCAAAGTGAGAATCTAACTCTCTCTCCGAGATATACTTTAACCATCAAACCAATTTTCATACCTCTTCACATAATTAATATTGTTGACATTAGAAGAACGATGATTCCACCGATTTTATCACGCACGGGTGGATAATTAGGGTTTATCACACTATTAAAAACGAATAATGTGTAAGCAAATTAGTATAAACTAAAATTAATTTATATACAAATAAAAAATGATTTCCTTCTTAAAAAATACATTACATTAAGGTAGATTGCTTTTTGATACTGCTATCATTACAATAAGGTACTATTTTCTTAGATGAATGATAAAAATCGTATCTTCCTTTGAGTAGGATTATGCAAAGCGTAAAGGGGAAAATGTGTATTTTATCTTGCTTCCAAGCATTCTCAAAAGCAGTGTATTTACAGCAATTACAGCTTGTGTGATCGTGCATGTGGCTTTTATTTACCAGTTTTAACTGTTTCCAAAAGGGTTATTCAAATAATGACATTTCAATCATACCTGAAAAAGACTCACATTTGTCACTTTGATGTTATTTTCTGCCTAATCTCTTTGACCAAAACCCAATAAATTCCACAATAAAGCCTTGTCAAATCACCATTTTTCCACTTTAAGAAGGTTTTCAGTTCTTCCTCAACCCCATTTCTAATTAATCAATCTTAGTTAGAGAACCACCACTCTTTTCAATTTTAAAGCGTTCTTATGTTTACTAAGCGTATGTGATTCAATCATGAGAAATGATGAAGAGTTGCTTTCAAACTTCATAGCAATTCTCTTCTTTTGACTACATCATGTAAATTAATTTTTACATTAAAGTTGAAGAGACCCTTCAAGTTGTATCTCTAACCATAAACATTTTCTCAGAAACTTAAATTTGATTCCAACACATTTTTTATTTGGGATAGTGGAAGACTGAAAAAAACAAAAAAGGTTCAAAATTTCTATTCAGATTAGATTAAATTTTTTCAATGACATGACAAAGAGACTATGTGTGTTTGAACATATCAAAGTAATCAAATTGCAGAGAGCTTATGATGATTTTTTTCAAGATCTGAGACCGAGGCATAACATCATTGCCTGCTTCTAACACAATTTTGTTTGAGAAGATAAATAGTGCAGCAGTGATATTTGTGTTTGTTGGTTCATGTTAATAGGTTTCATCAACCCTATTTCTATCTCTTTAGTAGGGGTATAAATGGAATATTAATAAAGACCAATTAAAAGCATAGATATAAAAAAATGTTAATATAACGATTATGTTGACCATGAATTCATTATAAAACATATACAAAATTTTATAGAGTTAAATTTTTATTTTTATTTTCATGTTTTCTTATCATGTATTTTCAAAAATATTTAATATTTAATATTATTTTCTTCATTATTATCAATATTTTTAAAAAATATTATATTTTAAGAGTGATGATGTCACCTATTAGATATTGAAGATTCATAATTCACGTAAAATTATGATCATCTTGTAAGTTTTTCATAGCAATTAAAACCCTAAATTCTAAAAGTATAAAAATATGATAATTTTTAATTCAAAAAAAAAAAATAGTGGCCATACAAAATGTCAACAATCCAATGAATTCATGGAAACAATGATAAAACATTGATTTAATTTTGTATAATATTAGGTGCAAAGTGGAGATAATATAAATTATATGCGAACAATTCATAACAATCATGATTACCTTCAATTAATTTGTTTGTGAAGACAATGTTGGCCCATTACGTAATCACACAATTATAGCATGCATACACCTAACTTGTTCAATGTAAGTGCAAATTGTAAGTCATGCAAAGGAAGAGAAATCTTAGACCACAACAAAACCCTTGAGTCTTGAATCATGTGATTTGTCTTGAAAGTTTACGTGTGGTCTAATTAATTACTTAGTAAAATTTGTATGGATTATTAGCAGCACAAACCCTATCTTTTTCCCTAATTACAAAAGGGAAATAAAAATTAAAAATTGGAAGACGGGTATACTTTAGCTTCACCCAAAGACAACAGGGATGAAAAACAAGCATAACGTACAACCTACTCAAAGATTGCATGTATGATATAGGAAAAAGAAATGAAAAAAATTGAAACTTTGTATGAGACTCATACTCCCTTGAAGCAAATAAAACAGAGTGGTTTGTTGATAAATTAAGAAATGAAGAGGGTAACTATTTCATGATTATATATTATTCATGTTTCCTTCGCTTCAAGGTGAGGCATGCCTAGTGTCATTGTGGGGCTCCATTTCATAGCCCATAGCCTTAAAAGTTTAAACCTTTCTGTTTAGCTCTTCTAGGTTTATATGTATGTTATGTTCTTCAAATATGACTCATTTTTATCATTTCTAATATGCACATGTCTCTTAAATTATTGTACACATGTTATTTAGAATGTTAAACAATGATATACATTAAGTCCCTTTACTTGTTTATAATGAACAAAATGTATTATTAAAAAAATAAATATTTGTTAAAATTTCAAATAAATAATTTAAAATAAAAGTTTACTATATATATATATATTCTAAAAGCATAAATAAATAATCATAATAAAAAAATTATGTAAAGAAAATGTTATTAATGCATTCAGTATTATATATTTTTTCTTTGTATGATTAAATCTCTTCTACATGTAACAACAATATTTCAAGTCAGAAACACTTGCAATATAGTAGAATTTCTTCTCCAACAATTTTTTATGCAAAATATTTGAATTTGACCCTTTATTTAAAAGTAAATAAAAAAGTTGACAACACTCATAATCATCATTTACCATTTTTGGTGTATATGTATTAATAATTTTTCAAAAAGGAAATAAAGTCCAATGTATCCTGCACCATTTTCATCCTGATCATACTGGATCTGCAAGTCCACAATCTACGGATATTTGAAGAACAGAAAATCAAGGTTGATTCATGGACTAAGAAATATAAATGGTGGTTTGGAGTGTCTAAATTCTTCTGGTCCTTTTTCTTAGGCAGAGTGAACGAGAGACCATCATATGGGGTGTACCAATTACATGCATGCAGTGTGCAGAGACCAACGAACCTTGTCCACACCAAAGGAAAAAGATGAAAAGAAAAAGTAAGACAGTGAGCACTATAACTTCAACTTTTGTCAATTGCTTTGATATTTGACAATTACAAATTCTAACAAAATTCTCTTTGATATGCTCTTTTTGATGTACTATGATTAGAAAATATACCAAATACTCTAGCAAGAAAACAGGGGAGGGTCAGTTTTTTGTATTCAGTGATTTGACTCACATTTATATTTGAGCTAATTAAATAAATGCATTAGAAAATTATATTAAATGTATTACCAAATAATAATTTTTTTATGACTATATTTAAGATTTAAAATGAAAATTATTGATGAAGTTCAACTAAATCTGCACTAATAGATTTGGTTGTTGTTGGGTATCTAATTTGGTGAACAAAGAAGAGCAAAAGAGGGAATGAAGTATTCAACGTAAAGGTAGAAGAGTCGATGTGGTACTATTGAAGTCCAAACTTGACAGTAGACGGATTTCAAAGCACTGATTTTACATGATCACGTGTGTCTCCCAGCTAGCAAACCATCGCTATCCCTCAAATTATGGTTTCCCTTTGGCTACGTGAAACATATTCAACTATAAAAGGCCCCCATTAGCACCAACACATTTCCCCACATTACCTGAAATCACCTTGCTTTTGAATTCTCACCTATATTCTATTCGATCCCTTCAACCCTTCGCCTTTCTGCACTCTTCATTGTGCCTTGCCAGCATCTCGGTCCAGCCACCATGGTTTCTGAGACAGTCCAGAGCCAATCCAAGAACGTGTGTGTGATTGGAGCTGGACCATCAGGGCTAGTGGCAGCCAGGGAGTTGAGAAAAGAGGGTCACATGGTGGTTGTGTTGGAGCAGAATCATGATGTTGGAGGGCAGTGGCTTTATGAGGCAAATATGGAAGGGGAGGACCCTTTAGGGAGAAAACCTTTTCTAAAGGTGCATAGCAGTATCTATGAATCCTTGAGGCTCACATCTCCACGTGAGATCATGGGGTTCTCTGATTTTCCGTTTTTGGTCAAGAAGGGTAGAGACACTAGGAGGTTCCCTAGTCATTCAGAGCTTCTTCTGTACTTAAAGGATTTTTGCGAATATTTTGGCTTGAGAGAGATGATAAGGTTCAATACATTGGTGGATCATGTGGGAATGTTGGATTATGGTGTCTGTAGTAATGATTTGAAGTGGATTGTGAGAAGCATAGATAAGAAGAGTGAGAAGGTGGTGGAAGAGGTGTTCGATGCAGTTGTGGTGGCCACTGGTCATTACTCTCAACCAAGATTGCCTTCCATTCAAGGTAAGTGAAAGTCAGCATAATCTCTAGATCTCTTTTATGACTCTATCTCTAACACCCTGCATGTACTCATTGAGTTATTTCATCCCAGAGAAAATATCAGATTATGTACATATAATTCTACATTCGAAGCTCAAGCATAATTATCTTTGTTTCTGTCTTTCTGATGTTCAGGAATGGATACATGGAAAAGGAAACAAATCCATAGTCACATTTACAGGACCCCAGAACAATTCCGTAATGAGGTATATGACAGATGTAATCTCTTTATTTTCAACAATTTGAAAAGCATGAACTTTGCATAACGTAGAAGGCCATATAAGTTGAGTAAAAGGATGAGAAACAGGGAGATGTGCATTAGCTAAAAGTGAGAAATATTGTTGAGCTGTCATAAAATATCACTCTCAAACATAATAGAGGCAATTTTTCATGTAACAGATTGTGGTGGTGGTTGGAAATTCCTTGAGTGGGCAAGACATATCAATAGAACTTGTGGAAGTTGCAAAGGAAGTCCACATGAGTTCCAGATCTCTGAACATCTCTGAGGGTTTATCTAAAGTCATATCCAAACATGCAAACTTCCATCTTCATCCACAGGTACAACTTCAAGTTCTAACCAAAGTAAAACAAAAGTTACTTAGGCCCTGTTTACTAATAAATGAAGAAAATAAACTGAAACCAGCTTGTTTAGTAAGTTGATTTTAACATAAGCTTGATTTAAACTTGTACAAATTCAATTTATTTTATTTTACTTTTCTGACTAGCCCTTAATCAAGGGTCTTGTTTCACTAATAACTTCTTATCTTCCTAACGTGTGGTACCTTTTGTGCAGATAGAGACCCTTCAAGAAGATGGAATAGTTACATTCGTTGATGGTTCTTCCATTCTTGCAGACTCTATTTTGTACTGCACAGGGTAACGTCCCACATAATCAAATAATTCTCAAGAAAATTTGTTAATTAAGCGCTTATATGTGAAAACATATAGTATCTATTATGAATCGTACAATTAAACAAAGAGCAAAACTAATCTTATAAATTTCAATTCACTAAGTTAAGTTCCAAAAGATACCATGATTGAATAATTATGATCTTAGGCTTGGAGATTTCACCGTGGGGCCTATGTCCAAACATGTCTTGATGTATCCTTTTAGATTTAATTAGTTGTGTTTTCTAATCATTGATGATGGTTTTCAGATTTTCAATTGTTTATGTGTAGGTACTCCTATGCATTTCCCTTTCTTGACACCAAAGGAATGGTTGTTGTGGATGATGACAGAGTGGGGCCATTGTATGAGCACACTTTTCCCCCCTCACTTGCTCCATCCCTTTCTTTTATAGGCATCCCTAGAAAGGTAAAGTACCCCAAAATCAGTGATTTGAATTTGTTTTAGGTAGCATGTTTTTCACACACACAAATTACTTTTGGTTGCAATAGAAATTTGTATTTTCCCATGTCTGCTTCTAATATAAAAATAGAATTGTTGATTGAGGAGAGTGCATGTGTGTGCTTACAGATCATAGGATTCCCTTTCTTTGAGTCTCAAGCAATATGGATAGCTCAACTGCTTTCTGGGAAAAGAGTATTGCCATCATGGGAGGAAATGATGAAATCCATCAAGGAGTTCTACCATTCAAGAGAAGCAGCAGGCATCCCCAAGCACTGTACTCATGAAATTGCAAACTTTGAGGTAAAGAAATTAAAAATTGTTCACTTCAGTTTCAAGTCTTTTGCTATGATCTTGGATGTAAACCTCATTTTAATCCTTGAAATCATTTGCATTGGTCACTTGTTTTTATTGCAGTATTGTGACAAATATGGTGACAATGTGGGGTTCCCACATACAGAAGAATGGAGGAAAAAACTGTGCATATCAGCCATAATTAATGCTGATGTGAACTTGGAGACATATAGAGATTTGTGGGATGATCATGACCTACTCCAAGAGGCCCTTCAAAGTCCTCACTTCACTCAGCTTGGACTTGAAGATTCTCCCCTGTAAAGCCAAAAAAGTACAAAACAAAGGAAATTTTGCATGATTAGCATTTAAATCATTTGTTTATGTAATTTCTGTTTTTGAAAAAGACAAAGGAGATTGAATGAGAAGAATATTGGGTTTGATACAGAAGAAGAATGTTTGTGAAGCTGAAATTTTGTTTGTATATCTTTGTTGCAGTTCATTTGTTTTGTAATAAGGTTAAGGAAACTCCACGTAGCAGAGTTGGTTAAGTGGAGAATTTCTTGAATAATTAGACAAGAAAAGGACGTGTATAAATTAGAAAATTAAATATATAATAAGTTAAATATGTTTTTACTATTTCAAATTTGAAAAAAAAAATTCTTATAATATTTAAAGTCTGATTAAATACTTGTACTTTTTACCATGTTATATTTCTCAAATTGATGACTCAATGTTTCATCTTTCACTTGAGCAATATCCACACAGTATCATTGTAGAAGATCATAACTACTATTGGAGAAAAAACGAGTGAGAAATATTCTTTTTCAGTTCTATTTTTGTGAGAATTTAATATTCAAATTGTAGGATATTTTTTAAAAGTAATAAAAACAAACATCAAGACGTCATGGTCATTTTCTGTTTAGAAGGTATTTCAAATATTCATTAGGACTAGAGAATAGGGGTTGTGTTGGGTGTGACGACGGATGACGCGCACAGTGGTTCCAGAATAGGGGTGAGGGATAGCTGTGGTGGTGCATGGTTCAGGAGGCGAAGGACGTCGTGTTTCGAAGGTACCAGACAAGACACTAATTGAAGAGGCACAAGTCCCGACCTGAACTTGTGGGGCTTCTTCACTTCGTCGGTCGTCGGAACAGACTTACGAGCAGTCTTCATCGCCAGCTGCTTCTGAGGAGTCTTGCCGCCGGTAGATGTGTGGACTTTTTGCTTGGTAGGGGCCATCTAGAAGGTCCTGGTAGATTGCGGAGAAGCTGATGGAAGTGGATTACGGGGTTTACAGGAATGGAAAGGTAAAGTTATTGTCTCCACTCTTCAGTAATTGAAACAAGGTAAATTCTTGATATAGTCAAATAGAGGTTTGAAAGTTGGAAGATTAAGAGAAACTTGGAAGATTTAGTTGTTAAGTTAAACCCTAAGGGGATTAGATAGATGATAAGGAAAACAGACAGAACGAGAGTAGGGGATAGTAATGCCCATGGAAGATTCTGGGAGAGAGGTATCGGTGGAAGGCAGTCGAGGGAGCTAAGGAGTGGGAATCAAAACAAGGGGTTTGGGGGGCATTTAGGGCGTGTCTTAAGTTCCTCAACATCATATTTTTTCACGAATATTCCGGAACCACTTGAGATCGATACTCTATGGAAAATTTTCCAGCGATTGGGTAAGGTGGTGGATGTATTTTTACCCAAGAAACTTGATAAGGTAGGGCAGAGGTTTGGGTTTGTCCACTTTGCATATGTTTGTAATGCGGAGACGATAGAACGACTGAAGGTGCATTTGAGTCGTTACGCTAGGGGGCATGCGACTGCGGTGAAACTACATTGCATTAGGGAGGGGGTAGTTAGGTGATCAGGTGTGGGTGGTTCTTCATACGCAGATGCTCTACGAGGCCCTCAGGTTTCGAAGGCGGAGGAAAAACCAACGGTGATGAGAGTTGAGGGAAAGCGGTCAGAACAACCCTGGTGTCCTTTATACTATGCAGTGGAGGAGTTGTTTCTTGAGGAGTGTTGCCAAACTCTTGTTGGCTGCCTCAATCGTGGACAGGACTTGACTAGGGTTAGGAAGGAGGTGTTATAAGCGGGCTTCTCAGATATTGTCCTGACCACGATGGGAGATGATAAAGTCCTGATTGAGTCAGATGCAGGGGTGAACCTGGAGGATATTGTGTTGCAGAATAGGAAGATTTAGGAGCGTTGGTTTTATGAAGTCGGTTGGTGGCATCCGAGGACAGGGGTGTGTGTTCAACGGGAAACTTGGGTCCGCTGTTATGGGGTGCCGTTACATGTGTGGTCTGAGACGTTTTTTAAGAAGATGGTGTCATGCCTGGGGGAATTTATTCAGGTGGATGAGGTTACGAAGCGGAGGAGAAGACTGGATTATGAACGTGTTCAACTACGTACATCGGCTTCGACGTTGATAAATGAGGGGACGAAAGTACTTATTAATGATTTATGCTTTACAATACACATGGTGGAGAAGCATGGAGGTCAGTTCCATGAGAATATTGCTAATGATGCATCCTCGATTGACTCTGATTATATGGAATGTACGTCTCTTGATTTGCATGAGGTCGAAAATTATTCGTCGGAGGAAGAAGGGGGCATTGGAGATGGTGTGGCTGGAGTATGGTCTGGGACAGTGGTTGACACGCCTATTGTGGGGGCTGTTACGGAGGAGCAATTGCCTCCTAATGATAAGGGAGTGGGTGCGGAGACGGTGGTTGAGGAAATCCTAGAAGTGATGCCTTCAGCGAGGTTACAGGATCCGGTAGTAGTGCCGGATGGTGTTGGCCGAAAGCATGTGCACATTGGAGATGCTGGACAAGGTGGTGTGGCGTAGAGTATGGGTGGTATTCAGTCTAAGGGGGTGAATACGCAGGAGTTACTGTGTCATGTGGGAAAGGTAAATGGATCTGGTAGTAATCCATTTGGGTTGGATCAATTGCTTTGGTCAGAGCATGCCTAGGAAATATCGAGGGTGGCACAAGACACTGGTGTTCCTGGGGTTCCCATTCCAGCCAAATTGGGAGTTTCTGTCGTGCAATCCAATGTGCGACACACATTAAGGAAAGCTCGTGGTAGGAATATCATGGGCCAAAAGAGTTGTATTGGTGCGTTGGTGGATGAGGGGGTTGCATCGTTGGTGCCGGATCATGTGTCCATTAGTGAGATTGGCGTGTCTTCGGAGGTTGACCCTCTACGTGCGACTGATGAGGTGGTGGCAGATAAGGTGATGAAATTGTTTTGTTCAGTGGGGATTGTGGTGTGGGATAATGAATCAGAAGTGAGGGAGAAATTTGTGGCTATGGAGATTCGTGACAGAGAATTGGTGGAAAAAAAGAATGGAGAATCTGTTGATTCATGAAGATAGCTTCTTTCAATTGTAGAGGCCTGGGGTTGGAGGTTAAACGTTGTCGTGTCTCCGAGCTGATTAGATGTGAACGTGTGGATTTTATTGCGTTACAGGAGTCAAAGTTGGAAGGTTATGACCGCCAATTGTGCTCGCGAATTTGGGGTTCGTCTGGGTTTGATTGGTTGAGTTGTCCTTCTCAGGGGCATAGTGGTGGACTTATTTCGATTTGGGACTCGATTCAAGGTACCTTACAGTTCTCTTTTTCTGGGCTAGGTTACTTAGGTGTATGTTTGAGTTGGGGAAATGGTGGTGTTCGGTGTATTGTGGTCAACGTGTACTCTCCATGTCGCCTGTTGGAAAAGAGAAAGTTGTGGGCTGATCTTGTTATGTAAACTCGAGGCTTTGGTGACGTTTTGTGGTGTGTAGTGGGTGACTTTAACTCTGTGTGCCGGGAGTCTGAGAGGAAGGGAGGGGTGGGTGTGGTTAGTGTATCTGATATGCTTGAGTTTAATAGTTTCATTGCAGAGATGGGCCTGGTAGATTTGTCATTAGTGGGAAAGCGGTTTACATGGTTCCGGGGGGATGGGCTACTGATGAGTCGGCTGGATAGGATGTTGATATCAGAAAAATGGATCAACACTTGGGGTGAGTGTTATGTATTTGTCCTCCCTTGGGACGTGTCTGACCATTGTCCGCTTGTGTTAAAGTATAGAGCACTTAATTGGAGTCCGAAGTTGTTTCGATTTAACAATTGTTGGTTAGATCATCCTGGATTGGAGTTAGTGGTTTGTCAGGCTTGGGAGGGTGTTGTTGAAAAACCTTGGGCAGCTCAACGTGTTCAGGTCCGTATGGGTAATGTTAAACAAGCATTGAGGAAGTGGAATGGTGAGGTATTCGGTAACCTTGACAAGAATATTTCTTCTCTTACTGTTGAGTTGCAGGCCCTAGATGATAAGAATGAGGTGCAAGATCTTGTCTGGTGGAGTTATTACGGCAAAAAGAGGTCTTGTATGAGATTTGGAGTGCGTGGAGGAGGAAACAGTGTTTGATTGCCCAGAAGGCGAGGGTGCATTGGGCTAAGTATGGTGACTTGAATTCAAAGTTCTTTTATGCTTGTCTCCGGGGGCAACGGCGCTGCAACCAACTATATGCTTTGTATGTTGGTGAGAGGTCGGTTGAGGATATTCAGGGTATTCGAGGGGTGGTGGTGGATTATTTCTCTGATCACTTTTCAGGCAGGTTGTGGCATAGGTCTAGACTGGATTTTATGAGTGTATTTGGCATTTCTTCTCAACAGAATGTGGAACTTGTGGCGCCATTTTCAGAGGAGGAGGTAAGTGTTATGTTAGCAGAGTGTGATGAAGATAAAAGTCCGGGCTCAGATGAGTTTAATTTTGCCTTTGTTAAGAAATTATGGCGGTTGATGCGTATTGAGGTGTTGCAAGTTTTGACTGACTTTTATAATAATCTTACGGTTCCGAAGGCCCTATTGTCTTATTTTGTGACACTGGTTCCTAAAGTCTCATATCCTTAGCACATGTTTGATTTTCGGCCAATTTCTTTTTTTGGATGCCTGTACAAAATATTATCGAAGGTGTTGGTGAATCGATTGCGTGGTGTGCTCCCTTCGATTATTTCGCACCGTCAGTCGGCTTTTGTTCCAAGTCGTAGCATACTTGATAGTTTTTTGGTTGCAAATGAGGCGATTGATTTTGTGAAACGTTATAAAAAGAGTATCTTTGTGCTTAAAATTGACTATGAGAAGGCATATGACTCGATTGAATGAGACTATTTGTTATATATGTTGCATGGGTTTGGTTTTGATGAGATGTGGGTTAGATGGATGGAGGGGTGTGTTTGTCGAGGTAGCTTGTCAGCGCTAGTGAATGGTAGTCCTACCTCTGAGGTTAGTATTGGGAGGGGCTTGAAATAGGGGGACCCACTGGCCCCATTCTTATTCTTAATTGCAGCTGAGGGACTGCGGTTGATGATGGATAGGGCGTTAGAGGGGGGGTTGTTTACTGGTTTGCAGGTTGGGGTGGTGGGGTCTGTGGTGTCTCTCCTGCAGTTTGCAGATGATACTTTGATTATTGGGGAAACTTTTGCATGTAACCTGTGGACAGTTAAGGCGTTGTTAAGAGGGTTTGAACTTATATCAGACATGTCTATTAATTTCCATAAAAGTTGTGTGGTGGGAGTGAATACTGACGATGACTTTGTGGAGCTTGCAGCAAACTTTCTTCATTGTCGTAAGGGCCAACTGTCGGTTAAATATTTGGGGCTTCCCCTTGGAGCGAATCCTAGATTGCAGGCTACTTGGCAGCCGGTGTTAGATAGTATGCGACATCGGCTTTCATCTTGGAAGTACAGGTATGTTTCAATTGGTGGTCGTGTCATCCTTATTAACTCGGTGCTAAATTCTATTCCTATCCACTTCCTCTCCTTTTTTCAAAGTCCCTAAGTCTGTGGTGAAGGATATTATCTCTATTCAAAGGAATTTTTTGTGGAATGGGGTTAAGGATCTATCTAAGATCCCTTGGGTCTGGTGGGAGTTGGTGTGTCGATCGAAGAGAGTGGGTGGACTTGGAATTAAGGATGTGAAATTATTTAATTATGCTTTACTTGGTAAATGGATCTGGCGTTGCTTATCATATCCGGGGGACTCTTTGGGCGCAGGTTCTTCAGACGCGATATGGCCTGGCCCCGTCATGGTTGAGTGTGTGTTTGGTGGATTGACGTGTTTCTAGTTGGTGGTAGGATTTTGTGTCTACTTTACAGTTAGGAGGACAATGGGTTGATGAGAAGATATTACGGGCTGTAGGGGATGGTACTTCGGTGAGATTTTGGGAGGATAGGTTATTGGGTGGATTTAG